CAACTCTGGGCTCATGGTGCGCCTGTGTAACCCTCAGTGGAATACAATAGGGTCCATCACTCAAAGAATACCACAAATTTAAGGGGAATGAATGACTCACATCTTTAATAATGCAAGGCTTTAGATCAGTGGCTCTCAACCTCTCCAAACTACTGTACCCTTTCAGGAGTCTGATTTTTCTCGTGTACCCCCAAGTTTTGCCTCACTTAAAAACTACTTACTTAAAAAAATCAGATATAAAATACAAAAGTGTCACAGCACACTATTACTGAAAATATGCTTACTTTCTCATTTTTACCATATAATTATAAATAGATTGGAATATAAATATTGTACTTAATTTCAGTGTATAGAATATAGAGCAGTGTAACATTTTGTACGAAATTTTTAATTGTACTGACTTCACTAGTGCTTTTTATGTATCCTGTTGTAAAACTAGACGTATATCTAGATGCACTGATGTACCCCGTGCAAGTCCTCTGCGTACCCCCTGGTTGACAACCACTGATGTAGATGTTCCTCACACAGTGGGTCGTGAGAAGGTTCTAGATGGGTCATCACGTCCAGGGCCGGAGTAACCATCACTGGACCCTGGCCTAGGCAAAGATACACTTCCCACAGTCTAGTGCAGAGGAGAGGCCCCAGGGGAGGTTTGAAGAGTGAGCCCAACCCACGTTCACCCCGTAGCAGCAGCTTCTGTTTCATGGGACATGGTGTTGTGACCTGGTGCATGGGTCGCAGTCAGTAGCATAGCTGGGGGGGAGCAGCCGCTCCCCCACTGAGCACATTCCCCAAAAGTGGCGTCTTTTTAATTTTTACACTCACGCGGGGACGACGTTGCGGGCTGAGACCTTGTGTTCTGGAAGCGCCTCCTTGCGGCGCAGCGGGCGCGCCTGTCCCTTTAAACCGGGCGAGAGGGGGCGTTCCCATGGTGCGTAGCGGCAGGCGGCTTGGATTTTAAATCCTAGCAGCCGGCAGCGAGAGTGGGGCGAGGTCAGCACAGGGCCGGAGCTGCACGGGGAGCAGGGCAGGGTTCGGGAGCCGTGGGCAGGGGCAGGATCACGAGTGCGGTGGCCGGGAAGGGGGTGAAGCCGCCGGGCGCAGCGGAGCCCGGAAAGGCAGCTGCGGCTGGGGCCGGGGCACTCACCGGCAGCAGCGTGGGAAGTGGAGCAATGTGGGCCCCAGCCCGCTCCACTCCACCAGCTCCCAGCCGCGGTGCACCGCTTCTCGCTGCCGGTGAGTGCGGGGAGGTTAGGGAAAGATTCCCCCCCAAACTCACCAGCAGCGGGAAGCAGAGCAACGCGGCCCCAGCCTGCTCCGCTTCCCTTGACCCTACGCCTACCCCAGCCATGTTGCTGGGGCAGAGGGTTTGGGGAAAGGTCCCTCCTCCTCCCCCCTCCCCACACTCACCAGCAGCGGCGGGAAGCGGAGCAGCCCGGCCCCAGCCCACTCCACTCTGCCAGCTCCCAGCCGTGTCGCTCCGCTTCCTGCCGTTGGTGAGGTTGGGGAAAGGATGCTCCCCACACTCACCTGCGGCGGGAAGCGGAGCGACGCGGCCCCAGCCCGTTCCGCTTCCCTTGCCCCTGCCCCTACCCCAGCTGTGTTGCTTGGGAGGGAGGGGGCTGGGGAAAGGTCCCCCCTCCCCTGCACTTACCTGCGGCGGGAAGCGGAGTGCCGCAGCTGGGAGCTGGCAGAGTAGAGCTGGCTGGGGCTGGGCTGCTCCGCTTCTGCCACTGCCGGTGAGTGCAGGGGGGGATCCCTTCCCCCAAGCCCTCTCCCCTAAGCGACACGGCAGGGGCTGGGGCAAGGGAAGTGGACAGGGCTGGCTCTGACATTTTTGCCGCCACAAGCCAAAAAAAAAAACAAAAAAAACCCCAGGGCGCAGGGCGGCTGGACCCGGAGGCAAAGCCAAAAAAAAAAAATAATAATAATAAACCCCAGGGCGCACGGCGGCTGGACCCAGAGGCAAAGCAAAAAAACCCCAAAAACCCTGGGTGCAGGGCGGCCGGACCCAGAGGCAAAGCAAAAAAAAAAAAACAGGGCACCCGTGCCGCCCTAGGATTGGCGGGAATGCCGCCCCTTAGAATCTGCGGCTCCACGCACGAGCTTGCTTGGCTGGTGCCTGGAGCCGGCCCTGGAAGCGGAGCAGGCTGCTCCCCGTCTCCCGCTAATTCCCTGGGCCACTCTGGGCCTGCGGGCCCCCAAAAGTGCTCCCCACAGCTCCTGCCTCCCAGACCGTCCGGGTCTTTGGCGGTGGGACCTTCAGTGCCACCGAAGACCCGGAGCGCTGCCGAGTGAGCAAAAGCGCCGCAGCGGGTGGCACCTTTTTTTTTTTTGATCGCTCCCCCTGTTCCCTCCACCTGGCTACGCCACTTGTCGCAGTACCACTCAGGTTCAGTGTGGCCATCCCACTATATGACGGAGAGACAGCCAGACCAAATTTAAGTGGCGCTGCAACCCTATGAACCAGGTCTCAACACCATTCACTGTAATTTGGCCCAGCCACTCCTCCATTCTTTTTTTTTTGGGGGGGGGGGGGGGGGGAACGGACGACCAATGGGCCAAATCTGAGTGGTGCTGTGACCCCCCAACACCAGGTTGCAACCCCTGGAGTAGGGAGATGGGCCCAAATGACCTAAGCTGAGGGAAAGGCAAGGGCTGAGTCCAGACTGAGACAGAAGAGTCTAGTCTGTAAAGAGAAATAACTGGAACTCTAAGCTACAGAAACTCTGCATCCTGCCTAAGTCAACATTTAGGGTGAGAAATTACATTTTGTAACCTGAATTACATTTTGCATCCGAAGAAGTGGGTTGTAGCCCACGAAAGCTTATGCTCTAATAAATTTGTTAGTCTCTAAGGTGCCACAAGTACTCCTGTTCTATTTTGTAACCTGTTTCTTTAGAGAATCAAGCTTAATTTGCATGTTTTGTTTTATTTGCTCAGTAATCTGCTTTGTTCTGTTTGCTATCCCTTATAATCACTTAAAATTTACCTTTTATAGTTAATAAACTTATTTCTTGTTTATAACATAACCCAGTTTGTGCAATTTATAACTGGGGGGGGGGGCAAGATTTCTCTACAGTGCAAGACAACGTTATTTTGGGTGTACTTTCCAGAGGGGAACTGCACTTGAGCGCTGAGCAATTTCCTAGCTGAATCTTCCCATAGACAGCTGCTCATAGGCTGTGTGTGATTCCACAGCTGGTGCGTCCCTACCTGTGTGTGTGTGTGTGTGTGTGCTGCCAGAGAGCCTGATTCAGGAAAACAGGGAGAGGGAGCCCAGGCTAGTGGAGCAGGCTGACTCAGTGAAATCCCAATATATCAGATGTCATCCCAGAAGGGGGGTCCAACCCGTCACACATATATGTAATGGTGAATCATTTAAAAATAAAAAAGACAAGATGCAGCTGGTGGGTTGCCTTAGTAAAATGTTTGGGAACCAATTATCTAGATCAGTGTTTCCCAAACTTGGGATGCCGCTTGTGTAGGGAAAGCCTCTGGCGGGCCGGGCCAGTTTGTTTACCTGCCATGTCCGCAGGTCCGGCCGAACGCGGCTCCCACTGGCCACGGTTCACTGCTCCAGGCCAATGGGAGCTGCTGGAAGCGGCGTGGGCCGAAGGACATACTGGCCGCCGCTTCCAGCAGCTCCCATTCAGTGAGCACCCTGAAGCCTGTACCTTGAATCAGGCCGAGGTCCTGTGGAAAACAATTGTATGGGATCATGCAGAGACTGATCATAATGCATACACATATGATCAACTTTAATTATGGTATTTCCTATATTTTCAGTAATTGAATTTGCAACCTTCACTTTTTTTTAAGCCTAACTTTTAGGGTATTTTCCAAGTTTTTAAAGAAGTAAACTGAAAAACAAATTCCATAGCATGCACTGATCATTGAATGAGTGGCCAGCAGAGTTTGAACCTGGGATCTTCAGCACAGCAGCCTAGACCTCTACCACTGGAGCTGAAGTACTATCATAGTGGCTTGTTTATGAACCAGTTTCTAGAGAGGAATACATCAAGCACTGAAACAGTGAGATATATATACAGAAGTAGCCCCATTTCGCAGGGTGCATAACCAAGCACATAAATATAGCAGGTTCTTTTGGAAAGCTGCGCAAGTGGATTCAACTTGGGTTTGCCATATTAGAACCGTGGGTTCTACTCCCAGATCTACCAGAAGTGACCTTGTGCTCAGAAATAGTCAACAATCACTGGAAGAGGTAAGATTTAAATTCACAGTTTCCTGGCTCCCAGTTCAATGTGCTTTTTCCTAAACGATATTTTGAAGGAGAAGGATATGCAGGCAGACTCATGCAACTCCGTGCAGCTTGGAAACATGTACAGGTGGAACATTCAGAAAATTACGGAGCAAGTATAGAACAAGTTCTACTGCCAAGATACTCCATCTTGTATCTTGGCCAAATATGGCTGGGTTTTCATGGAGGCAACAACAGTCATCTCTCTGACCCCAAGACCAATCACCTACCAAATTTCAAATTTTTCACCAAATTCCAAATCACTAGAATTGTTCAAAAATGCTTGGAAAAAATGTATTGATATTGGCAAAACTATTTTACCCAAATCTTGTTCTTGGAAACTTGAGGCTGAGACCCACCATGGAAAATTTCATCCAAAACCATCACATTTTGGCAAAGTTATAAGGAACTAAAAACAGAGGATTATAGTGGGAAGTGTTAGGCAGTCTTACCTGTGTCACTCTCTCTCCACCTATAATGCAGGCAAAACATTTTCACATACAATATTTTTAAATTACATATGCATATTGGGTAAGCCAATTACATCAACATAGTTTTTTTGCACTGACCTCATACACTGTTTTCTCTCCCGATTATACAATATGTACACATTTTCTAGCTATCTACCTCATATAGTCACTCAACAACAGTCAAGAGCTAAATTATGTCCAAATACTCTCTTAAGCAGGTACAATAATACCTCTCGATATCCCAATAGTTTCAAGCCTCCCCTCCTTACCTCTTTGCTTCCTCCAGATGACAAAGATACTCATAAGCCACATTCTGATGTCTTCTCTCATCCATCTCCTCTGCTGTCATCCTCTCATTATCCAGGACAGCTGCAAAGAGTCAAAAACATTGTCAGTCTTCAACATACCTGATGTGCAGGCATATAAGTGACCCTTGACTTCATCAGCTTGCACCTATCTCCACAGTAAAATGCATCATCTTGCCCAAGGAGAGCCATATCAGTGCACACAGCATATTCTGTATTATTTGTATTACAATAGCGCCTGGAGGCCAAAGAGGGCCGATTGTGCTAGGCACTTTACAAACACAGTAAGGTAGAGTCCTTTACCGAAAGAGCTTACAGCAGTGGTCACCAACCAGCAGATTGACTGTGGAGCCTCTGCCAGTCGATCGCAATCTCTGGCCGCTAAAAGTCCATCAACGCAACGGAGCTAAGGCAGGCTCCCTGCCTGCCCTGGCCCCGCGCTGCTCCCGGAAGCGGCCAGCACATCCCTGCGTGGGGGGCAGAGGGTTTCCGTGCTCTACTCCTGCCTGCAAGCACTGCCCCCACAGCTCCCATTGGCTGGGAATGCGGAACTGAGGCCAATGGGAGCTGCGGGGGCGGTGCCTGCAGGAACGGGCAGTGCACGGAGCCACATGCCACTCCCCCCAGGGCCACGGCACAGGGATGTGCCGTCAGCTTCCAGGAGCAGCGTGGGGCTGGGGCAGGCAGGGAGCCTGCCTTAACCCTGCTGCACCACCACCCAAGGTTAGTGCTGCCCGGTGGGAGCCCACACCCCACCCGCACCCCAACCCCTACCCCTGAGGCCCCTCCCGGAGCCAGCACCCTGTACTCCATCCTGCACCCAGAACCCACACCTGCACCTCAACCCCCTGTCCCAGCCCTTAACCCCCTCCTGGAGCCAGCACCCTGTACCTCCTCCTGAACCCCAAACCCCCTCCTGCACCCAAACTCCCTCCCAGAGCTCACACCCCTCACCCTCTCTTGCACCCTAACCCCCTAGGCCCAGCCAGGAGCCCCCTCCCACACTCCAAACCCCTCAGCCTCAGCCCAGAGCCCACACCCCAACTCCCTGCCCTAGAACGGTGAACCTGAGTGAGGGTGGGAGAGAGCAAGCAATGAAGGGGGGGTGGAGTCAGCATGGTGGGGCCTTGGGGGAAGGGGTGGGGCTTCAGGGAATGGGTGGGGTAGATCCTGGATTGCACTTAAATTCAAAAAGTGATCTTGTGCTTAAAAAGGTTGGAAACCGCAGGCTTACAATCTAAATAGACAAGACAAAGAGTGGGAGGGGAAACAGAGAGTGCAAATGACTCAGAATCAGAGAATCATAGAATACCAGGGTTGGAAGGGATCTCAGGAGGTCATCTAGTCCAACCTCCTGCTCAAAGCAGGACCAATCCCCAGACAGATTTTTGCCCCAGATCCCTAAATGGCCCCCTCAAGGATTAAACTCACAACCCTGGGTTTAGCAGGCTAATGCTCAAACCACTGAGCCATCCCTCCCCCACTTGTCTAAGGGGTCACAGCAGATCTGGGTTCTTTTTCTGGTTCTGACACTGGACTCCTGATTCCTTGTCTATGTCCCTCTCTACTAGACCACAGTGCCTCTACATGGCTCTTATTCATCATAACTCCATATTATAACAAACGGGATTAAACCTGGGTCCAATTTTTCATTGTCCTGCATTGGCTTGATGGCCAAATCAAGCTGTCCATTACAAATGAAAGAAAACACAATAATCGAAAAATGATTCTTCCTTTTCTCTCCTGTCACTGGCACAGAAGTATCTCGTCTTCTCTTTAACCGCTAACCCCTCCATTTACCCCAGAGACCACTGATCTCCCTAATGCCCACTTATTCCCTCCTGAATCCTCTCACACTCTAGTTCTTTCCCCACACACTATAATTACTCTTCCATCTCATCTCTAAAATTACTGAATGCACTATCTACAAGCCCCGTTTGGTATTTCTCTCCTCCAATTCAGCTTCTGGCTCCTGTACTCCACTAAAACTGCTCTCACCAAAGACTCTAATCATCTCTTCATGGGCAAAGATCAGAGTCAATACTCCAGCCTCATCTTTTGAACTATCAGTCACCTCATAGCTCAAATAGTGAATGCCAGTGAAAGTGAGGTAGGATCAGAAGAGGCTAAAATAGGGAAAGAACGAGTTAAAAATTACTTGGACAAATTAGATGTCTTCAAGTCAGCAGGGCCTAATGAAATTCATCCTAGAATACTCAAGGAGCTGACTGAGAAGATATATGAGCCATTAGCGATTATCTTTGAGAATTGATGGAAGATGGGAGAGATTCCAGAAGACTGAAAAAGGGCAAATATAGTATCCATCTATAAAAAGGGAAATAAGGACACAGGCCCTGCCCTCACTCCACCTCCCCTTCCTGCCCCCTCCCCTGAGCCTGCAGTGCCCTTGCTCCTCCCCCAGCCTCCTGCACGCCACGAAACAGCTGATCGGGAGGGAAGGGGAGGCGCTGATAGGCAGAGCTGCCGGTGGGTGGGAGGCCCTGGGAGCGGGGTGGGGGAGCTGATGGGGGCTGCTGATGTATTACTGTGGCTCTTTGGCAATGTACATTGGTAAATTCTGGCTCCTTCTCAGGCTCAGGTTGGCCACCCCTAATTTAGTTGGTGTTGGTCCTGGTTTGAGCAGGGGATTGGACTAAATTACCTCCTGAGGTCTCTTCCAACCCTAATATTCTATGATTCCTCCTGTCCTCTCTCTCCAGTTTCAGTATAAATGCTTGTTTTATTTCTTGTTCTTTCTTGTGTTTAATCAACAAACTTTCAACTTTAAAATAAGTGATTGTGTGTGTTTGCCAGGAAACCGAGTAAATCAAGGTCTCTAAAAAAACAAACCTCCTCGTAACACTGTTTTTATATTGGACAGTGAAAAAGTTTATAACACCTTTAACTCTTTTGACCCATGAAATTAATACAACACATCCCCTCTCATATGTGTAATGAATGTTACGAACCACTGACTGCCCCCCAACCTATTTAATAAAATAAGACATCTTCAAGTTATGTCCTGTTAGTCTGCATTATTTATATTGCATTCATTACATGAAATTACATTACCATGTATGAAGTTCTAAATCTTGTGTTATGCAGGAAGTCAGAATAAGATTTCTAGAGATTATTTTAATTCCAGACATGAATAGCAGCCTAAAAAAAAATAGCAGCCTAAAAAAAAAATCTCATTCACATAAAATATTTATATACGTAAAATCTCATTTACATAAATACATAAAATATTTATATTGTGATACAGCATGGCCAGAGGGCAGCAGGAGAGGGTTAGAAGGGAGCCTTATTCCCTGTAGAGGGAAGAAAGTTTGCTATAGATTAATTAGAGCACCTGAAGCCAATTAGAGCACCTGATATAAACCCCCTGCTTCAATCAGACAGGGAAAGGTGTTGGAGCAGAGTGGATTGGAGTTGGAGCAGAGAGCACTTTGGAGGGAAGCAGAGGAAAGTTTGGAGAAGTGCTGCGGTGGGCTAAGACCACCAAGACCCTAGGTAAAGGGACACCTGGCTTGTGCAGAGGGAGAGCAGGAAGACCCCCACAAGCTGAAGGGCAGGAGAGGGAAGTGGCCCAGGGGAAGGAACTGCTAGTTCAAGTGGTTTACCGCTATCCCTAGGGTCCCTGGGCTGGGACCCGGAGTAGAGGGTGGGCCTGGGTCCCTCCCTCTCCACTCCCCTCCCCTCCTCTAGGACACTAGTGGGGCAGTTAATATTCCAGTTCAGGGGCAAGAAAGGGGCCCCAAAACCCCCCCCCCCCCCCCGAAGAGAAAGCGCGAGACCCATCATAGTCGTGCAGGCAATTTGCCACAATATACAAAAAAAAAATCTCTCAAAATATTTATATACATAAGAAGAAATATTTTATGTGAATGAGATTTTAAAATTTACTGTAGCTGGAGCATGTAAAAATAGCTATCCTATTAAGGATGCCTAAGCATTTCCATCCTAAAGGTTTTGGCATTAAAACGAACTAAAACGGAGAAGCTTTAGTGGCCCCATCCTTTGGAGCAGGAACTTGAAATTTAGGCAGAGATGGCCTCTGTTAGAGCAATCCTTTTGCTGTGCCCATGAAAATCCACCCGAAGTTGGCCAAGTTATAAATCTCTGAAAAAGTGCAGTTTACACATGCTTAAGAGAAGCTTAATAAACCTCCATAACTAAATTACACAGACATTCCCTCCACACTGAGCAGGGTCCAAATTGGAGCTAAGCCTGGTTTTCCATGCAATGCAGCTTTGAGCTGCTGTGGGCCAGGTCTGGGGCCTGTGCAACATTAACACTGCCTCCTTGTGAATCTGCATTGCCATACAGTATTTAAACTACATAATCACATGACAGTATTTCCTAAGAATCCCAACTCATTCAGTGCACAATTAGTGAGACAGCTGAGCAAGCTTATTTTTGTTTCCACTGTTCAGTGAGAAGATCCCTACCTCATTCACTGTACAGAGGGTACAAATCTACTCATATTCACACAAGAACATTCAGAATCAGACCATTAGTTTCAATGGATTTATGCCAGATTTATACTGTGATAACTTCAAACACAACTAGGCCCAAAAGGAGCCACAAATCTAGAAGACCATCTTCCCATTCACTATGAACCCCTGCCTCATTGAGTGCACATCTTCTAAACCAGTGGTTTTCAAGCCTTTTTTCTGGGGACCCATTTGAAGAAAACTGTTGATGCCCGTGACCCAACAGAGCTGGGGATGAGGAGTTTGAGGTGTGGGAAGGGCTCAGGGCTGGGGCAGAGGGTTGGGGTGCAGGGGTGAGAGCTGCAGGGTGGGGCCAGGAATGTGGGGTTCAGGGTGTGGGACAGGACTCTGGGCTAGGGCAGGGGGTTGGGGTGCAGGAGGGGGTCGGGGCTCTGGGCTGGGGGTGAAGGCTCTGGGGTGAGGCCAGGGATGAGGGGTTTGGGGTGCAGGAAGGGGTTACAGGTTTGGGGGGGCTCAGAGCTGGGGCAGGGGATTAGGGTACGGACTTAACTCCGGCGGCTCCCGGTCAGCGGCACAGCCGGAGTGCACCGTGGACCATGCT